AGCAGCTGCTGAAATAAACTGCAGGCCAGTTGGTTTGGATTTCGGGCGCAGCTGAAACTTAGTTGCCACAATTTGTGATGAGGCGTAAGAGAGAGAAAAACGAACTGAGGATGTTAAATTGAATATGCATAAGGGAACTACAGAGTCGGCTTATGGCATTTATTATTTTTTTTACAAGTTTTCATATTTCCAAAGTATTGGGAAGGAAAGAAAGGAACTCCTAATGGGCATACGAGTACATATACATAGATTATTTGAGGCGCAGTTGAATGCGTTGATGATTGCGTACATGAGGATGGCAAGGCATGAGCCCTATAAGCAAACTCATCGCAGCGATTTTAAGCATTTTTAGTTAATTTACAGGGAAAAACATTTGGAATTCCTACCAGCAACTGTCACGAGCCTCTGGCTAAAAATCTTGTATTCGATCGCATATGGCATTTTATTTGGCGCGTCAGCAAATGTTTGTAAGCAATTTTTTTATGACATTTTTTTGCAATCGTTTAGTAGACGTTGCTGCTTCTGCTACTGTTGCATTTGTCACTGTAGTTTAAATGCTGAGCGACACATTTGCTGACTTGGGATCGTGCGGCAATCTGTGGCAACAAAAAACTGGCCGCATGACGCGTCCAAAAGCGCAATGAGGCACTAGCTAACAGCACAACAAAAACAACAACCACGTTGTACAAATGCAATAGCAACATGGACATGAACACACAGTTAAAGTCAAAGTCAAGTTCCATATTCATTGGCTACAACACAAACACAAACAGAAACAACAACCATTTAAAAGCACATTATGATCACCGTCTAAATGCAGCTGACGTTTTGTGCTAATGACTACAAGTTGACTAGGCTTCAAAACAGGACAAAGACTTATCACTGATTGCACTGTAATAACCATTTTTATAAAATATTTTAAAAAAATTGATAACTTCGAGCTAAAATTAAAAAATTATGTGATGCGGTTTTAAATGCATTTTAGGTCAGTTTTTGAGAAATGGAACGGGAACTGCGATACCAAGCAGCTGCACATCTATGCACGAAAATATAAATTGTAGAAACTCAACTCATTGGCAAAATTGATAGCAAGCCAAAAACAGGAAAATCTAAAGCAAACGAATTGTTAACAAGTGAAAGAAAACCAGATTTTGCCTTGGCCAAACAGCAGCCAGGGGGCCGGATATGGCCAAATTGCTAGGGTTCCCGGCGGCCGGTAATTGGCAATGCAGCAGAAGCAGCAGCAGCAGCAACAACAACGACAATTTTTTTTTTTATTTTTGCATTTAACTGGGCAAAAAACGGCTGCAAAAATAAATATGAGCTCGACAGCGTCAAGGGCTTGGTGCCGGTGCCAAAGCCTGCTCTTCAGTTTTTTTTAGGCAAAAACCAAACGCCAGCCAAGACAGATGTGCGACATTGCAATTTGTTACAGTTGCAGTTGCATTAACGGCCAACTTGTAGACGGGGCAGGGCCTCAACCTAAGCTTGAGCCAGGGTGTAAGTCGGAGTCTGGGTCTGGGGTCTGGGGTCTAGGCCTCGGCCTGGGAAGTCAGGCTGGCAGCAAAAGGCAACCTAAATATTTTAATGCCCCAGCCGCATTGATGGTTCGCTTTTTTGCGCTGCAACTTCAGTAATTAACATTTTTTGCGTGCACAAATATTTTTCGACTTGAGAGAAAGAAGCGAAGAGCAGATGCACATGAAATTCACAACAGAAGCTGCTGCATGAAAACTCAAACAAATTAAACTTCAGGTAAGGCCAAGAACAGCAACAGCACGGCAGCCAACTGAAAAAATAACAACAACAATCGACACGGCCTGCAGAAAACGTAACAAAATATGTTAAAATGCAACCAAGTGAGTAAATTGTGCGCAACAAAAAAAAAACTGAATGTTCTGTTTATGTAGCACCACCACACACACACACACATACATACATATATTTATATATTATATATATATATACTTGGATAGAATATACTTCATAAACTAAGCAAATTATTATTTGAAGGCACACGTCCCAGGGTTGGCTCTGGCTCTGGCCCAGGCTTTGGCTTTGGCGCTGGGTTTGGTTGAGTGTTTAGCCAGCGAACTTGTACAAAAATTAAATTGTTTTAATTACGCGCTGCCGCAAATTGTGGGATTGTTGTTTCAGGGGGCAAGGCAACCGGCTGTCGAGCAGTTTATTATTATTGTTGCAATTGTTGTTGGGAAAATTGTTGCCAAATTGCGTTAGCTTTGCTTTGCCCACATTAGCTACAAAGTTAAGTGGTCTTAATAGGGCTGAAAAGCGACTGAAGAAGAATAATACGCAACTAGAATGATATACATAAATGTGAATTTTTAACAGGAGAAGTGAACTGAAATGAAGCAAATTAGGGAGTATTTTCTTCAGGTAATATTAAATTATATATCCTCTAAACGACAATTTATTTTATGTTCACAATTCATATTAAAATATGTATTTATTTATTTATTTATTTTATATTATACCAATTAATATTTTGTAATATTTCTTCAAAAGCTATAAAACAGGCTTTTGCAATAACTCTTAAGTTCGCATTCATTTGTAAAATAAATAAAACATAATTTTTTTAAGATCTCAAAATAATCAACTGTGCAACCCTGGTTTTTATAATGCATATAAAAATATTTTTCATTATTTTTTTTTAATTGTAGCTACATAGAAAAATGCTGAAGTTTGGTGTGGTTTGCATATGTGGGGCAGGGAGCAGAAGGTGTAGGCAGCTGCAGCCGCACCCGCACCACTCACTACCCTTTCATCAGCAAGTGCCACGAAATTTTTCTCCACTTTACATTTTTTGCGTGTGTTCTCGTTTCGGATGATGGGCTAAGGGCAAGTGGAGGCTGGGGCCGAAGCTGGGGATTTGTGGCGGAGAAGCGCGGTCGACGTAGTCAAGACAGACAATGTTGAAAACTTAGCTTTGCCAGCGCTGAGCCATTGATAATTACTAGGTTGTTATATTGCACTCTCTTTCACTCTATCACTGCCCTCGTCTCCATGTTGCAAATTTATGTTTGCTTCGCATGCGCTTGTGGCAAGCCAAGTAGGTGTGTGCATGTGTGTCTATGTGTGTGTGTAAGTGTGGGCTGGTGCATAGAAGTCAAGTCAATCTTTAGACTGTTTTTACATAATTATAACAGTGCACTGACTGCTCCCGCCGTTGCTTTTATTGTTTTCATTTTAATTTAAATGCTTAAACAATAATTTGAGCATTATACTTTTGAAGGGTTATTGTTTTTGGTTAATGCATGCAATGGAAATCAACTCAAGTGATGCACGTGAAAACTCTCCGCCTCCGTATGCCGCTAACAATTATTACAACCTACGTTATGCAAATCCAAATGGTAGCACGAAATTCTAACTTCTATTCCCCCTATGTGAAGCGCCCAATTAGCTGGCTTCCGGGCGTGCCAGAGCCTTGGCTATCTTTGAATTCATGTGGCAAAAGCCACAATATCCGTTTGCTATTAGAAGCAACCAACAATGGGCCAAAGACGATGGCCACGTATTTTTCGTCTATATTTTACGCAATTTTACGCACAGCTCAGATTTTGGACGTAACAAAAAGATAAACCGCACTGCAACAAATGGGCGCTGGTTTCCTGTTTCCTGTGGCAGATAACTGTGCGTGTGGGTCTAAATTTACGGCCATCGCTAAAACGAGAACCTTCAATTTTCAGAGGGCATGTTGCGTACAATTGTACGACGCACAAAAATGCGTACAGTTGCGCTCAAGTCATGTAGCGGCCATTTTGCCCCGCTCGCTTATGCAACACTTTTTGCACGAATCGATGGTGTGAGTGTGTGGGTGTTGTATGTTGGTATGTGTATGTGAAAAATATCAATAAACACAGCCCCGTCCATAACAGCACCTGCTTCTTTTGATTGCCTGTATTTTATATTTATATATATTTTACATATTAAATATATTACATAAGCACTATTATATACTTTTGTGTCAAGTCCCCTGCCTGGGCAAAAGTTGTTCGGTCGGGTCGCCAATTTACGCACAAGAATATCTTGTGGGTGTCGCCACGTAGGGGTAGCTAGTAATTTTTACATACCGAACAGGCCATTTTGTTCTCTCATGCCCAAATCCAAGTTGCACTAAACAACGGCACCGGTTCAAACTCGAACCTAGACCCACACCCAAGCCTGCACCCGTCCCAGGCAGTGCCCCTGCCTCAATGCGTTGCAACTTAACGTTAGGTCACCCCATGTGTGCATGCGTTAAAATATTTTTCCACCACATCGATTACTTTACGCAAATTAGTGCGTAGATATTTTGCAAAAATATTCTATAAATAATTGATGTGCCGTTAAACGTGTTTTACACAACACTCACCCTACAAATGCGCTTTCTCATGTAACTTGCAACGGGTGTGTGTGTATGTGCGTGTGTGTGTGTGTGCCAGATATAAGTGTGTTGGGAGTGGGAGGTTTTACATTGCCACACTTTGAGCGCCACTTAATTTGAGTTGAACGCTTAATTTAGCAATTTCAATCATCAATGACAGTTGATAAATATTAGTATGATTATGCCACATATAGTATTATTATTAGTAGACTGCATTCAATATACTACAATGTTCGTAATCCCTGAATATAGACACATATAAATGTATAACCAATTAACCAGATTATACAACAATTGTCAAAGTTCATTGGATACGTTTCATTCTGTGTGAAAAAGCATTAGGTTCTCCCGCTAACCACATTTGCTCAACTTCATAATACACAGTTTTCCTACTTCCTTTTTTAATGAGTATTGACATTACAGACATTATCTATATGAGAAACTAGTTGACAAGAAACATATGTCCTGGTAATTTCCAGGAATATACTAATAAAAGCTTAAGCCAATGAACTCAACCAATAAGAAATGTAAATATGGATGTATTTCTTTAGATATTTTATTTAATTTTTATAAATAAACTTATTATATCTTGTTATAAGCATATTTTTGATATTCTTCAATTGTATCCGTTGGTGGTGGGTAATCCATAGTTGCTCAAGTTTCGGCCATCGTAAAGTTCTTTTAGAAATGACAAAACCTGAGGCCGTTGCCAAGTTGTGTTATGGAGAGAATTAATTTGACAATTGCCGCAAACACTCAGAGTGGGAAACTGTACTTTTGGGAATTTGGGATCCTCGGTAATATCGCCTTCCAATCGTTGATTAACCTCGTTGTGTGCCTCCCATAGCCAAAGTATCTCCTCGTCTCGGCTAGCCACTGAGAAAATCTTACGCCGCTCAGACATGCCCATAAAATGCTGCACACAATCCCTGCAGCCAAAGAAGTGCTTAACGAAACCATGAACGGTGCCTAAAACAAAACCTGCCGGCAAAATGAGAGACTTGGACGCCTGTACGGTGAAATAGTGGAAGAGTGTCCACAGCGAGCATGTGAAGCCACGCAGGAAAGGACCCGATGCAATGCAGCCTACATATCGCCTGGCCTTGAATACCTTTGGCTGCATTCCCTCCAATAGTTGCACCTGTGCCTGGAAGGCCATGCCAGTCAGTTCACCACTGGTGGAGCCATTAACAAATTCATAGAGGCGTTGTAACAACAATTTGCCGCTGACATTTAAGGGACTAAACAGGCACAGGACATTAAGAAATTGTCGCAAAGCCATCATGTTATCACCCTTAAAAATTCGCACCTTTGGCAACTCGATGTGAATAAGCTGGTCAATCGCCTGTTCCAAATCTGCGCGATAAACTTTAGATCTTCCTTGTAGGACAGTTGAAAGAATGGCGGCTTGTTCCTCATCAATGAGATAGTTGGTTATGTTTGGCGCGGGGTTAGTTGGAAGTAGCGGCAAGGCATAGCCTAAAGAATGAATATAGTTCCCCACGCAGGCAACATAGGATGCACTGGTGTCATTCAACGGCTGCAAGGCTTTTGCATTTCCAACACAGTCCATAAGGGCCAACGTGCTGTTTGTTGGGCTTAAGACGAAGTATCTAAACAGCCGTCGATCGCTTAGAATACGCACATTGACCATTGGCCAAATTAGTAGGCCGAGTATTGTGTCTCTGCCAATTGTTGATCCCTCTGGTTGATAGACCAGCACTGTAAAGTTTATAGCACTCGAATTAAAGCAACCAAGTTTCTGAAGCAGTGGCTGTATAATATCCGTAGCTTTCACTGGCTTAAAATCTGGTTGGCCCAGCATTGTGTACTTAACTTTCGATATATATTCGGCGAGCTTGGCAAAAATAGCATCAGGCACAAGTGTGTCCAAGTCGAAACCAACTTGCTTCTCAGTCCGTTGAAAATCGGGTGGGAAAATACGCAGTGTAGGTGTTTTCTGAATGTCAAAGTCGCGACAAATTTGCACATTTCTCTCCTGTGCACAGTCCACCACAAAGATCGATAGAACGGTTCGCCATCCATACAGTTTCCAGGCCAGCTGCTTAAATGTGGCTGCAAAGCGTCTGCAGTCGCCGCAGAAATAATTGATGAACTGCACAAGCTTGCAGTTATTCGAACTGTAGAGTTCCATTTCCAATGTATCGTTGTTCAATATTTTGACATTGTCCTCTGGAGCGTAGAGACTTGGCTCAGTCGCAAGAGCCGCATTCGTCGGCACTAAACAGCACCGCAGCAACAATAACCAGAAAACAACAAGAGCGTGCAACTTCATTGAGCGAATCTCTTCTAGAAGATGCTTGCCGGTTTAGTTTTTAACTGCAACTGATGAGCGATTCCAAGGCACTTGGGTTATTAAAGCGCACGTTTTGCTTGGGTTGTTTTAAAATGCGTCAGCCAACAGGCAAGAGGCAAACAATAAAAAGAGTTAAGGCAATTGTAGATACTTTTCATTTGTAATAAGTTCTGTGATGTCTGTTGGATCAGACAGATTCTTTTATGTACATACATCTAAATAAAATGATGTTAACTTAATAAATGAATATATAAAACTTAAACTTAAGAGTGATGAAAACTTTCTGGTAAGCATATCAAAAATATACAAACAACAAAAAATAACTTGCATCTAACCTAGTCATCTTGTTTATATTGTAATAAAAAAATGATTAGTTATTGAATACGGCATCAATAATTAAAATACATAAAATTTTAAAAGTTTCAATTAATGAATCCCACAAAATTATGTATTTCGAACTATTCACTGAAAACGGAACTCAACACAAATAAAAGTCGAACAATTCCTTAATTAAAACACAATCATATTATCGCTTGAATTTACAGGCTTGATTCGCAACATTTCGATGTTTAAGATTACACCTCAAACTGTGTAGATTTTAGCAAAACCAACAAGTTGTCAGCTGCAACAAGTGGCCATAAGTGTTTTTGGTAGCAGATTCAAAATTCAAAGTATGCTCAACTTTGTGGTTATATCATTTACATGCCAGATTATGTGCGGAAATATACCAAAAAAGCAAACAAGAGCCACTGCTCAAAAAGTTTCCAAAAAGTTTCTGGTGTGAAAACAGATTCTCTCTGTTCTCGGTTAGGCAAGTTTTGCGGGGACTCAACTGCAGCTTAAAACTTTTTGGCAACAGTTTATGGGCACCCAAGTGCCCTCCTTGCCTCCCCTCAGCCCGTATCTCCACAGACTCAATACTGAGCTGGCAAGTTGATGCTTGGTAATTTAATTGCGACAACGAGACGAGTTTCATTTCCATCATCAGCTGGCGGCTGTTGTTGCTGGCATATTTTATGGCAAATTAACTGCGAAAAGGCGTTGCAGTGGAAATTTTTAAGCGATTTATGTGGTTCGTTGTAGTCCTGGCAATGAGTGCCAAAGTGCGAGGTTAAAAATAATAAAGCAGGGCGTATGCGTAATAGAAGTGCTTTGGCTTTTATTACAATATTTTCGTGCTCTTACCAATTTAGTATGAAGCATATAGTTATCCAGTTAAATGTTGAAAGACTTATCAGAAGTATTGCTAATATGAAATACGTTATGTGCAGAAAGTGCATTTTTCGTTTAATTAGTGCAATGGCTTTCAAATAAATTCTAATACCACAATAATTGTCGCACTAACTTGCAATCAGCATCCAAAGACAATGGCTGGGCAAACATATGCCCATCATCAATTCGAACTTAGTGCTCATCCCTTACCGTACTCCGAACGCATATCATGATTATTAACAATGCGCTGACGGACATGAACAATGTAGCAAATCGGCTCGCAAATCAGGCAGTAGCAGCAGCAAACATTCAAACAAGCAACCAGTCAACGACATGGCAGCCAGTAAAAATTGCGTAAAATACAAATATTGTGCAAAGCTTCATTTTTTTTTTGTGCCAGGATGCGCTGCGTACGGAAGCTGGGGGTGGCGGCTATATAAAGGCAATGGGACTGCGGCAGTCCATCAAAACGATTTGAATGCGTCGTTGACGTTGATGAGTTTGAGTGAAAAGCGGATCGTCGAGTAGTCAGGAGGCAGCAGGCTGGCCAGCAACAACAATAACAGCAACAACAACGAGCCAAGTTCGTCAATCAAAAGCCAAACCAAAATCTCCTCATGCGTGGCACAGTGCAGAGAGGCAAAGCCAAAGGCTGATGAGGATGCCACTGCTGCTGATGCCGACGATGATGCGTTTTGCTGTTTGTTTTGTTTTAATTTTCTCGATTTTTTCCCCATTTTTTTCCTTTTTTTTTTGCAAGCCTTTTCCCTTTTCCGCTTGTGTTTTTCGTTATTTGAAAAACTCTTCAGTTTTGAATTGTTGCCATGTTTTTATTGTTGCTGAGTTTGGTTTAGTTAGTGCGTGGCGGGCATGTGGGGGACGCATCTCTAAGCGGCAGTCAGTGTATCCGTATCCGTTGAGCTTTACACTGTGTGTTTGCACGCTCCGAACGGGAACACGTTTGACATTTCATCAGGCGGGCGACGGCGACTGTCTGAAATTGCGACCGCTGCCGCAGCTAAGGATTTGATTTGATGTGCGTCCGTCAAAAGGGAGTCTTGTAAAGGCAGCAGCAGCAGCAGTAGCAAGAGCACCAGCAACAATGCGCTGAAAATTGCATTGTTAGCAAAACACTACAATATGGCCAAAGTGCCCGATGTAGAAACGCATATATACACACGCCTAATACACACACACTCACTCAGAAATCAGCCTCACGCATGCACTTGACAAGTCAGCCATCCCTGTATTCGGCCTGCCAGCATTTACTTCCGCTTTTAATTAAAAATAAAAAAATCCCAACCAAACCAAACCAAACAATAACCTGCCGCAGCTAGCGAAAAATACGAATAAAAAAGAGATTCACAATTATTTGCGTATAAAATATATAAAAAAAAAAAAACAAAAAACATATACACATACACACATATATATAAGCATAGATGTATGTGTATAGACAGAAAAATTGAAAACCACACAAATGCATTTACTACATCAACAGCCCGCAAGGGTTCGCTTATTTACATGCGTATCCTGCAGATACGCACTTTGGACTGCGGGGCTTCCTGCAGCCCGGCAGGGAGCGGGGGCCGAGTGGGCAACGAGAGTGACAGAGTCGTGTTGGATTGAGAGGGACAACAGTAGCTCTTAATTTGTCTGCAAAAGCAGCAAACTAATGAGAATTACGCAATTTGAAAAATGAAAAAATAAATAAAATGGACGTTGGAAAATGTTGTTCAACAGGATGGCACAGAAAGGTAAATTGTTTCAGCTTAATGCAATCTGCAAATGCGCTGCAATATATTCATTTGAATAACTTTGGACTTTAATGCTTGATAGGTAATTCAAGTTTTACATTGTACGAAACGCAAAGTCATGGAAAGTATGGAAATTGATGGCTTTAGAATATTTTCGCAGGATAAAAGAGTTTCGAGTTGGTGGTTTAAATAATTTTGTGATTAAATTTGAATATTTTTCTACTTCCAAAGTCAATCATAAAAGTCATTAACTCTTAGCCATAAACTAATTTAACCAGTTGTGTAATATGACAGCCAGTGTAAGCACAACTAGTACTCTTTTTCACCCGCAATCCTGTGCTCTTTCCCTCTCGCTTTAATTACGCATATTGCCAGCTGGCAGTATTGAGAGGGTCGTAAATATGAACTGGCAAGGATTTGAAACCAATTGGACTGACAATTTCACTTACATTTTATTTATTTTTCAATTTTTTTAATTTGATTAGAACGAAAACCACAAATGTGGAGACTAATTTAAATATGCTCAAGGATTAGTTAATGTTAGTTACTCTCAGCACTCTCCCAACTGTCGAGCCTATTTAAAAAGCGCTCGTTGGTAATGAACAACACAACTGTGGCAGCATCTGCTGCAGACAATGATGCCTCATTAAAATGCACTTAATTAAAATGCAATGGTAAAATCAACAGCGATTGCAATTGCAACTGCCACAGTGGCAGCCAACTGCAAATGCGACGCTTGTCCGCTGAGAGTCAGCGAATCGTATATGACTAAATCTAGTTTGGGTTTCGATAGAAAAACAACAACAAGGGGACAAACATCAACGAAACAAAATTACAAGACAAGTCACAGAACAAGCAAAACGAACAACACCAAGAATGAAGAGTGTTGCAACTGATGAATATGGAACTTGGCTTTGACTTTATAACTATTTCAATGCGTTGTCCAACTTGCAGCCTCCGCGCAGCACAGAAATTGCTGCACGAATCTGCCACAGCGGCAGCAAAGCGTTGGCCAACGGCCGATGCCAGCAAAAAATGTCATAAATAAATTGCTTAGCAACATTTGCTGACGCGCCAAATAAAATCCCATAAATGATCGAATGCGATTTTTAGTCTATGCAACTGCAGCAACGCGTCGCGACGGTGGCGGCGACTTAAACCAATGTGGAAAACAAGGAAAAACTAATCTAAGCAATAACGAAAATTGAATGCTCTCCAATCTAAGATTAATTAATGTTCTTTTGTCAACGATTTTCGTCAACTAATTTAACAATTACTTTTGTTGAAAACGATTTGTATTTAATTGTTCTTATTATACCAATATAAATCAAAATAATATCAACATATATTATATACTGTAAAAAATCATTGATTTGAATTTTTTGAGAATTGTGTAAAATATTTCAAGCAACAAAATATTTGTTAATATTACAAATTATTATTGTATTATTGATTGAGCTGTGTGGACTAGTAATTTGTTTGGCATAGGGTATAAATGCCGTGCTACAGCCCCCAATGCGTTTGCCACTTTTTCTAGTCTACGAAGCTACTTGATGCTACTTTTTTAAGAATTTCAAATGTTTTTCCTGGTAAATTAACTAAAAATGCTGAAAACGCTTTTGCAGTCGCTGCCGCAGTCGACGTCGCTTCGTTTTTGTGTGGTTGTCAATGTGAATGTGAGTGTGAGTGTGGATGTGGACAACGACGACGACAACGACGACGACAACGACATCGACATCCACAAAGCTGGAGACGAATAGTCAAAGACAGCAACTCCAACGACTGGCGTTGATCTCGTCTGCTGATGAACGAAAAAAGCAGCCAAACGCTCAAACGAAAGCAGCCAGCAATTTCCTATTTTACCAAAGT